AGACTGGTTAGTGATTCATCAGGAAAGATTGAGAGAGGCTCACGAACAGGCAAGAAAATATACTGAACACAAGGCTCCTGAGAGGTTGGCCCCTTTAAATGACAAGGTCTATTGTCCCATTATCAATGTTGGTCACCAAGTGTATCTGCGTCACCGACCTTTGGGTAGGAACAAGATTCAGGATTCATGGGGTCCTACTGTATACAAGGTTCTAGATGTGCAAGGTACTACATATACCCTTGAGCCCCTAGAGGGTGGTCCTTTCAAGAGACTTCATCGAGCTGACTTGCGACCCTGTGTCACTTCTGCCTCTGAGCCAGGATCCCCCGAGAACCATCCTCCTAAAACACAACAAGAGAGAGAAGCAGAGTCCGAGCAAGTGGAAGTTCAGTCTGATCCTGATTTTGTTGTGCTAGAGGAAGTCACTTACCCTAGTCTGCAAGAGACAAAGCAGATTGAAAGTTCTTCGGCAGAAGGTGAAGTGCTTGTAGATCAGCCCGAATTGATTTTAGGGGATACAGAACCCAAGCAGTTTATGCCTGACACCAGTGCTGCTCTCAGAGTGGAAGAACCTGTGCTGAAGAAGTCTGTACCAAACCCTAGGAGAACAAAAAGGGCCAATGCAGGTGTGCACTCAAACCCTTTCAATGAACCGAGGTCTGCATGTAATGTAGTCTCACTCAGTTCTGAAGTCTTTTCACAAGTGTTGACAAGCTTGGGGAGTGTGTTCTTTAGGGAGGCCATTAAGGAAGTAAAAAATATGGATTAGATCACTGAGGACAATGACATTTGCCAGGGGAGGATGTAGCCAAGTGGAGAAAATTAACAAAACTTAACGTTGAGTATAAATTGGTGGTGGGTCCTTTAAGAAACTGTGTTTGTGACACTTGCATTGCGGCGCTCCAGCATGTAACACGTGCGGGGATTTTAGTGTGAGCAGAGCGACGAATGCAAACTAATGCTCTGAGTTTGATGCCATTGTTCTGAATTTGGCAAGGACGTTCATGGGCTGCATGTGTGACATGGATCGGGTTTGATCACGTTTTGGGACACGTGCAAGGACTGGGTATGTACAATGAATGTTAATGAAGTTTCATTTTCTTTATTTAAAACCCAGTGCATTTGCCAGGTTGTAGTTGGATCTGTTTACATTGGAATATGCATGTTAAAAACATGCATATGAGTGTTATGAGTGTTCTTAAACATTTCATACCTTGATAAAATTATTAGAATGTATTAAAAGATTGTTTTTTTTACACAACATGTATTTTTATGAAAATTGGGGAGTTTAATAGTAAGCTAATGTACTGTTTTCATTTTATTCAAATATTAGCCTCTACCATATTTCATTTCATTTTATTTTATTTTACTCCATTTAATTTAATTTTAGTGCAATTCAAAAAGACTGAATTTTCCTTTATCTGAACTCTGAACCTTTTGAAGGTCGTGACTCTTCTTGGACTGAATTTATCAGATTTTGAAATCAGTGCTTTATCTCCTGTTTTTTTTTTTTTATCAAATAAGCACAACAGAGGCACGAGATTTACTTTATTTTATTCATTTTTTTCATCAGTACTTACTCCCATCGATCGCTGTCCTTCTGAGAGACAGCCGTCAGAATAAAGCCCTCAAAAGATATTTTTTTGTATCCTGTGCTGCTTTCTTACAACCCAAGGCCACACATATATTACATTAATCCCCAAGCTTGCCTATTAGTGCGTCTGTTTCCAATAATCAAACCACAGCAAAACCTAACATTGTGTAAATAAGGAATATAACCTACGTGAAGTATTCTTTTCAGTGGGAAAAGGCTGGACGTCTCCAGTGTTAGCGCTTTGTAACAACCAGAGGTCAAGCTGTAACTTGTTTTCTGACTTGGGACATGGGGTTTTCAAGACAGAGCAGTTTACACTTTGCAGTTTCTTGCTAACATGAGACAGATGAAAAAAAGAAAGGCTGCTGAGGGAACGGCTGTTTACAGCTGCTATTATATAAGCGATAACAATTTGAATTTGTAATTGTAATCGTTTGCAAATTGTTGTGGTATAAGAGGAATAAAACACTTTAATTTTCTAGAACAGTACGCCCTATCATGTTCTACTCCTTACTTAACACAATCTTGTTTTATACCAGATGCTACCAGAGAGGAAAACAGAGAAATGGAAGAATCAAACAAGAGGCACGGTTATCGTGATATTTGGTAATACAATTGGCATATAGTTTTAGGAGCATACACAAAGTGCTACTTAACTAGAGCTGTATATGTAGTACTCCTGAAAAAGGAGACTATTTGAGAAGAACAACATGAAAGTGCTTCATTAATGGCCCTTTACCTTGAATCATTTCAGTAATGTATACAGTTCACAATATCTTGTCTCAGTAACATGGAACTCACTCAATATAGTGTCATAGAAATTTATCATGTGGTTGCACTTTGAAATTGAAAGATTTCCCATCAAGTATGATGCATAAACATGTCATTTGGAAGACATGAGCAATGAAAACATTTTTCGGTTAAACTCTACTTTCAATAATATAATTTGGAGAAATATAGCAGTATTGACAAAGAAAACATTCACTTTACACAGTAATGCACTCAGTCCACTGTACCTGAACACTGAAGCTCAATAGAGCCAAATACTAGATTGTATATTACGCATCACATTTAACTCAGGTTAACAAACATAAGCTGGGTTGAACTCAGGTTCAACTCAGGTTGAATTTTGCAGGTTAAAGACTACACATAACACCCGAATGTACACTAAGAACTAATTAATGAAAATAAACATCCATCTTTACCGTTTCGCACATATTTCGGCATAGCATGCTAATATCGGGACATCTATACTAACCATGTGCTCCAATCCAATGAACTCATAAAATACCCCTTATAGAGCAAAAAGTAATTGTCAATATTGTGATAAATCATGCTTATAACTCAATCAGAATAGTGTAAAATGTGTTTTATCCATTAATACCTGAAAAAGGAGAATATCTGAGAAGAACAACTCAGATGTAGTGCTTCATCAATGGCGCTTTACCTTGAATAAAGCGTATTGAGAGAGTTCTCTCTCAAGTCGAGTCAAGCTTTATTGTCATTCTGCTACATGTGTGGACATATATTCAATTCAATTCAATTCAATTTTATTTGTATAGCGCTTTTAACAATGAACATTGTCTCAAAGCAGCTTTACAGAACATAAAAAAACAGAAAAACATGCAACCAAACAAAAACATGCAACAGTCCTAGATGTTAGGCAAAATTATCCCTAGTGAGCAAGCCTGAGGCGACTGAGGCGACTGTGGCAAGGAAAAACTCCCTTAGATGATATGAGGAAGAAACCTTGAGAGGAACCAGACTCAAAAGGGGACCCATTCTCATTTGGGTGACACTGGACAGTGTGATAGAACAATGTCCTTTCTGCATTTATGTATAGTCATGTAGCGTTTTATGTGTATATTGATTTGTAGATTGTTATCTTCCTCAAAGTCCACATAGGGTTGGCAGCGTTGCTTTAAATACCCAAATCCTCACGAGGCAGAAACCGGCTGGAGCTGGTCCATCTCTGGATGCCTCAGGATCCTCGTAGGGTTGGCCTCTGTCTACATGCCTCGGAATGGGTAGAAGAAGGGAAACAAGTAGAAAGGAATTAGCGTAGCTGCTGTTCATAATATTAGCAAGCACTAAATCATAATGTATGTATGAAGTGTATGCCTGGCTAAAGATATATGTCTTTAATCTACGCTTGAACTGGGAGACTGTGTCTGAGCCTCGAACACTGTCAGGAAGGCTATTCCAAAGTTTAGGAGCTAAATACGAAAACGCCCTACCCCCTTTTGTAGACTTTGATATTCTGGGAACTACCAGAAGTCCGGAGTTTTGAGATCTTAAGGAGCGAGGTGGATTGTGACGTGTTAGAAGACTGGCTAGATACATGGGAGCTAAACCATTTAAAGCCTTATACGTAAGTAGTGCTAGTTTATAATCAGTTCTAAACTTAACAGGTAGCCAGTGCAGGGATGATAATATTGGGGTTATGCGATCATCTTTTCTTGACCTAGTAAGAACTCTGGCGGCTGCATTCTGGACTAACTGTAGCTTGTTTATTGAAGACGCAGGACAACCACCTAGCAATGCATAACAATAGTCCAGTCTGGAGGTCATGGATGCATGAACTAGCTTTTCTGCATCAGATACAGATAAAATGTTCCTAAGCTTGGCAATGTTTCTAAGGTGGAAGAAGGCTGTTTTATTAATATTGGAAATATGATTTTCAAAAGACAAGCTGCTGTCTAATACTACGCCCAGGTCTTTCACTGTCGAGCTAGTAGTAATAGCTCTATTAAATATAGTGGAACGAAATGTCGTGTCTCGCAGGACCACGGTGCTACGTACAAGTTAAACATAAATATGAACATAGAAGTATAAGAAAAACAATTTGGTTGACTATACATACTGTACAAAACTTTACAAAAACTTTATATAGATGCTGTAAGTGAAAATGTGCAAATGAGATATTTTGAGGGGAGCAGCACATAGTGCAAGATGATTTGTAGTGCACAAGTAAACATATATTATATGTATATTATACAGTAAAACTGAGTCTTTGTGTGAGGGTGTGTCTATAAAAAGTGTTCATTCAGAGAAAAGAGTGTGTTACTACAGGTGGTTTGTATAGCACACTCCGAATTGCACTTAAACAGATTGCCCGTTTTTGTCCATGGGTTGGGGGGGAGGGGGATGAGGTGTACATGGTTTCAGGAGGTAGGCTTGTGGATGAGGTCTCAGAGGTGGACTCTGAGCACGTGTGGTGTGAAAATGCGGGCATGCAGGTGCACATAGGCACAACCAATCACACACACATTCAATACATAAAGATCACACATTCTCTTTCACACCTGGTATTTTGGTACATATTTTTATACAGCATTGGCAGACACCCTTATCCAGAGCAACTTACATTTATTAACCTGAGCAGTTGAGGGTTAAGGGTCTGGCTTGGAGGTACTGTGATTTGAACTCACAACCTTCTGACCAGCAGTCCAAAACCTTAACCACTGAGCTACCACTTCCCTATTTTAAACTGCAGAAACTCAAACATGAAAGCATCATTATCAATTTGTATATAAAATAATTATAATAATAAAAAAGTTCTTGTATACATAATGAGCTTTGTGAAAGACTCTTTAAATGCACCAGGATTTACATTCATTTCCCACCATACCACATATACAGGTGCAGTGACATTTGTATTAGCTATAAATCTGTGTGTACTGCAGTATAAACATGAATAATTGTGGTGTTGTAATAAATGACTCGCTCTGTTTGTTTAATCACGATGACTGCAGCGACAGCATGGAAAACAGCATGTAAGCAAAAGCTACGCTAGCTGGAAATATCTTAATAACACAGCTCTACTATATCCCCCTGCTACGTGTGTGTGTGTGTGTGTGTGTGTGTGTGTGTGTGTAAATTACCCACGTGCCCCAGTGTTTTTGTGTTGTCTGATAAATTGCTTCCCTCAGAAGCTCTTTGGTTCCTGAGTCCTGCTAATCACCTGGGATGAATGCTAAAACGTTAGCGTCGCTCTGTGATAGATCGCTCCTCATCTCGTGTGTTATGATGGATAGCGCTACTTCCGATATGCCAGTGCTAGCTGCATATCAGAGGATGTGGTGCATTAATTATTTTTGAATGTCTTTAGCTGCTCTCTGAACATGTGCAAATGGAATTTTAAATAAAAGAGGTCAAATAGGGGTTAAACGTGAGCTGCACATGACAGGAATGCTACTGGTTCAAGCTAGCATGTTACAAATGTGAATACTAACTGGTTTTATTAATTCTGCACACAGTCTGAGGTCATTTTAATTGAAACGTGATGAAGTCAATGGGAAGTAATGGTAAACAGTTGTGCAGATTGTGTAGTACAGATAAGTAGCCAAATACTATACTAAAAACTAAAATCCAATTGTAAAAAAGCCCATTTTTAATTTATTATTAGTAATGTTTCTAGCTTTAAACCACAGTTAGCTGGAGTGAGTTAACCTTATTTTATAAGGCTAACCGAGCTGTTAATGCAAACACTGTAGCAGATAAAGTAAATTGTTAACTCCTTGTTCGGATTCAGCCACTTTCACAAAGTTGTGTTAAATTAAAATTAGAACAGCAAAACCTAAATTAAGTACAGTATATTAGCACCACTATAACACTAATGATTCTGTTAGCATCACTGTTAGCATATTTATTACTATTATTTTGTTTCACTTTCCTTGCCTTCATGATTAAATGTTCGTGTAACAATATATCAGCATAGTAATGGATCTTTTTCCCGGCCTACATGTGTGATGATGGATGATGCTATGTCCATTATGCTAATGCTAACTTCATATAAGAAGTAGTGATACATTAGCTGTGGTGTTTGGGAAATCTCTCCTCACTTTGTTGCTTCCTCAAATCCACTTAAATGATTTAAACCCTGAAACATGGACTATATTAAAATGCTAATAATTCTTTTACAATGAATAATAGCCTTGTAAAACATCTTAAATAGTTTAAATAGCAAATGGTTTGACTTGATGATGAATTTGTTTCTGAAAATGTCCTGGAGTTTAAACGCTATAAAACTATAAATAACACTAAATTATGATGAACAAAGCTATCACAAAAACATAAAAGAAGACCTGATGAATTGCCTCATGTTTGGGACTTTGGTCTTAAGTCACTTCACCAATTATTATTTTTTTTTTAATAGTGATAACACTGTTTCAGTGGTAAAGGTAATGACTTCAGTGCATTGCTAGTTGTAAAAATAATGCTATTTTAGAATTTTAACGGTAACATTGATGATAAGAATTTCAACATTGCTAGTTATAATAACATTAATGACACATTTTTGGCATTTTAATGGTAACCTTAATGCTGTCAGTGTTCATACTGCTAGTCATGATAACATTAATGACAATTTTAGAATTATCATGGTAACATTAATGACATTAGTGTTAGCATTGTTAATCATAACAACATTAAAACTGGCCCAGGTTATGGAGGTCTGCAAATCTTTCAGGAACACAAAATTAATCCCAGGTTAATGACAATCACTGGAATGATCATTTCCTGCTGCTCTTCCCTAGGTATGGTGTGTTCTGAAAGGCACAACAAGCAAGAAATTAGTTAAGGCTACGACCATGTATGACCAAGAAAGATAAACCTCAACTTTGTCTCCAAATTATGACTGTAGGCTGACTTTTGGACTAGCATAAGATAACGGAAAGGTTCACATGGCTATACAGTATGAGGAGGAGTGAAAATTATGTTATACACAATGTCACTGACATCTGTTGAGTGATTTTTTTTTTTTTTTAACAGAAATACTATTAATGGAACACTGTAACTAGGCATGTGTATGTGTTCAAAATAAAATGTTACCCACAGAGTTATTATAGGTTGCGATAATAATAATAGTAATAATAATAATATTTTTTATTAGAATTATATGTTTATAGTAATATTTTTATTATAATTATTTCCAACACATGATTCCTGTCGGTTGACTGAAAAGGGGTAATAATGTTATTTTGTCTGTGATAACACAAAAATTTTATTTTATTTTTTTTTAAAGAGGATGTCTTACCTGCTTCTCACCTGCTTACTTACTGTATAGCTGGGGGCAGTGGTGGCTCACTGGTTGAGGCTTTGGGCTACTGATGAACTGCCGAACAGCCACGGTTGGGTCCTTGAGCAAGACTCTTAACCAAATTGCTCGGTAGCATTCTATCTCAGTTGTATTGTACGTCACTTTGGATGAACGTATAAGCAAAATATGCTTATCTGATCAAGTCTGTTACTTTTAATATGTTTTCTGATGTGTGATTACCATGTTTGACACATGATGTGCTATACTTTGGATCATGAGCTGTTCCTTTCTTTCACCATACTTTTCTCTTCCCATCATTCTGGTACAAGTTAATCTTGGTTTCATCAGTCTAAAGAATCTTATTCCAGAACATAGGAGGCTTTTTTAGATGTTTTCTGGCAAAGTCTAATCCAGCTTTCCTGTTCTTGAATGTTACCAGTGGATTGCACCTTGTTGAAAACCCTCTGTATTTACATTCATGAAGGCGACTTCATGTTGATTGTAGATTTCGACAATGATACGCCTACCTTCTCCAGAGTATTCTTGACTTGTAACACTGTACAAGTAACACTCAACTTGACTGTTGATGTTGTGAAGGGGTTTTTCTTCACCAAGGAAAGGATTCTGCGATCATCCACTTTAGTTGTCTTCCGTGGTTTTCCAGGCCTTTCGATGTTGTTGAGCTCACCAGTGCTTTCTTTCTTTTTAAGAATGTACCCAACTGTTGATTTGGCCACACCTAAGGTTTTTGCTCTCTCTCTTATAGATTTATGTTGTTTTTTCAGCCTAATGATGACCTCCTTCACTTGCATTGAGATCTCCTTGGACTTCATATTGGTAGCTCCAGTCGAACAGCTGCCAAATGCCACCTCAGTACCTGATATCAACCCCAGACCTTTTATCTGCTTCATTTGTCTTGAAGTAATGAGGGAATGGACCGCACCTGGTCAATTAACTTTTTAACTTTTAATATGATGTGTGATTTGAAAACTAGTCTAGTGATCTTCTGCCATTACTCTGCACAATGTTTTTCCATTTATTGATACAGTCAGATATTTAATATATAATATTAAAGAAAAAAGAAAGCCCTATATAAATGCACAAATTGCTTCTTTTATTATTTTATTATGTAAATACGTTAGAGAAATAACACATGCAAGGCAACAGATGTGTTCCAGATCTGTTGCCTTGCATGTGTTATTTCTCTGACGTATTTACATTGTTGGTTAACGATGATTAGCTGTTGGAGAACGTGTTGCTGAGCAAGTGTACACTGGATGTTAATTAAACTGGCGTAAATAAATGATACAAATATGACATGTACAATCGGTGTTTTAAATACAATCTTAACACAGCTGCATGTGGTGTGGTTTAAACCACCTTCATTATCATACGTAGCCAAGATCCATTGCTAAACTGCTAATGTGTATTAGCACAGGCAGCACGTTTCTGTAATTACTTGCTCAGATCTCTCAGGAACAGCAGAAAGCTAAATAATAAAAACACTGCAGCATATCAGGATGAATCTAAGTAATAATAATTTATTATAAAAAAAAGTGCTTTTGGGTTATGCAGTGACACTAAATTAATATGTACATGGCTTTTGAATCCATGTAACATAAATATGGTCATTTTCACGTGTGTTTATTTCCAGACTTGGCATTGTTTGCCTCAACAGTGCAGAATGTTTGGTGACACTGGTGAAGTTTGCAAACCTGCATGCACAAGTGACGTGAAATAGCTCAATCATCCACACATTGGAAGGAATTCTTCTATGTGAAAGCAAACCTGTAATTATGAGCCTCTGCCCTAAATGAGCCCAAAGCTGGTCTGGGTGTGGTATCAAGAAGTCGGAGCGAGTGTGAAAATGCCTTAAGTAAAGAAAAATAAACTCATTCAGTTAAATTTGAATAGTGTGGCACATTGAATGATCACAAAACCGCAAAAAACAAACCCAAAGGCTCAAAATAAACTGATGAATGGTGCAAGCACATCATCTTTCAGGCTTTTTTTTTTTTTTTTTTACAGTAAAATGAAGATGATGCTCATTAATAAAAACATTAGAAACTATTATCTATTTTTTTTTTAATAGTGACAAAAGTACAGTTATATATTCCGCATCAGTTAAATGGACCAAACTGCAGCTTAGTCCTTCAGGGAGAGAGAAAGTTTCATGAAGGATATATATTTTAAAATAAAATACAGATGGAGGAAGCTGGAGAAAATTAATGAAAAAAAAAAACATCCAAAAAAATGATTAAACTGATTAGATACTGATTAATACTTTAATACACATTTAGACTATTAATCATGCTGAGGCTCACTTAATTAATCATCAAAAAGCTGTATATATATATATATATAAGACAACTCATAACATTAAAAAACATTCTAAAGACCTATGTGCTTGACAGTTATTTTTCCTGCAATTTCTGATATT